CCGTCTCAAAAAAAAAAAAAAAACATGTTATATTTTTGCTTAGATACTCCTAGGACATGTTGCCATTGTTGTTACAAATACTGTTTTCCCTTTTGTTTCTAGGCGGTCTATGCTTACTTGGTGCTTATGCTGACAGTGATGACGACGACAATGATGTTTCCGAAAAGCCAGCACAATCCAAAGAGACAAATGGAAACCAGTCAACTGATATTGATAGTACATTAGCCAACTTCCTAGCGGTTAGTGGTGCTTTGGTTTGGGGTTTTAGTTATTAAAGCAACTTTGGGACCAGGATCTCAAGTGGTCATCCTACTTGTCAATTCAATGTTATCCACCTCCTTTCACCCTCTCCCTCCAACTGTCTTCTATTTCTCCCCATCTCACTTTCGTGTGTCTCTGTGTGTGTGTGTGTGTGTGTGTGTGTGTGTGTGTGTAATTTAAAGAGACAGGATCAGCCGGGCTCTGTGGCTCACGCCTGTAATACCAGCACTTTGGTAGGCCGAGGTGAGCGGATCACCTGAGGTCAGGAGTTTGAGACCAGCCTGGCTAACATGGTGAAACACCATTTCTACTAAAAATACAAAAAAATAGCAGGATGTGGTGGTGCATACCTGTAATTTCATCTACTCAGGAGGCCGAGGCAGGAGAATCACTTGAACCCAGGAGGTGGAGGTTGCAGTGAGTTGAGATCGTGCCTTTGCACTCCAGCTTGGGTAACAAGAGCGAAACTCTGTCTCAAAAAAAAAAAAAAGAGAGAGGTGGGGTCTTACTGTGTTGCCCAGGCTGGTCTTGAACCTCTGGATTCAAGTCATCCTCCCAACTTGACCTTTCAAAGTGCTGGAATTACAGGTGTGAGCCACCACATCTGGTTGTCTCTGTTCTCTCTCTCTAAGATGAAGTCTTACTCTGTTTTCCAGGCTACAGTGCAGTGGTGCAATCTCGACTCACTGCAACTTCTATCTCCTGGGTTCAAGTGATTGATTCTCCTACCCCAGCCTCCTGAGTAGCTGGGATTACAGGCCTGCGCCACCATGCCCAGCTCATTTTTGTATTTTTAGTAGTGATGGGATTTTACCATGTTGACTAGGCTGGTTTCGAACTCCTGAACTCAGGTGATCCACCTACCTTGGCTTCCGAAAGTGTTGGGATTATAGGCGTGAGCCACCACCTCTCTTTTTGTAAAGTTTTCAAGGAGAAGAAAGGAGAATTAGAAGAGACTGGGAAGCTCGTATGATTGGAAGATGAGGGTTTTGATTTAAGGAGCTTAGAATGAGTGTGTAGAATTTTTCTTCTTTCTCCCTTTAGACAGGGTCTCACTGTCACCCAGGCTGGAGTGTGCTGGCATGATGTTGGCCCACTGCAACCTCTGCCACCCGGGTTCAAGCAATTCTTTCACCTCAGCCTCTTGAGTAGCTGGGAATAAAGGCATGTACTACCATGCCCCGTGATATTTGTATTATTATTATTATTATTATTATTTTCACAGAATCTCATTCTATCACCCAGGCTGGCATGTAGTACTGTGATCTCGGCTTACTACAACCTCTGTCTCTTGGGTTGGAGCGATTCTTGTGCCTCAGCCTCCTGAGTAGCTGGGATTACAGGCGTTACCACCACGTCTGGCTAATTTTTGTATTTTTAGTTTAGACAGGTTTGCACCATGTTGGCCAGGCTGGTTTTGAGCTCCTGACTTCAGGTGATCTGCCCGCCTTGGCCTCCCAGATTGCTGGGAGTACAGACGTGAGCCACCGTGCCCGGCCTAATTTTATTTTATTTTTTGTTTTGTTTTGCTTTGAGAGAGAATCTCACTCTGTCTTCCAGGCTGGAGTCCAGTGGCGCGATCTCGGCTCACTGTAACCTCTGTCTCCTGGGTTCAAGGGATTCTCCTGTCTCAGCCTTCTGAGTTTTGGGGACTATAGGCATTCGCCACCATGCCTGACTAATTTTTGTATTTTTAGTAGAGACGGGATTTCTCCGTGTTGGCCAGGTTGATCTTGAACTCCTGACTTCAGGTGATCCACCCGCCTCAGCCTCCTAAAATGCTGGGATTACAGGAGTGAGACACCACGCCCGGCCCCTAATTTTTGTATTTTTAGTAGAAGTAGGGTTTCACCATGTTGGTCAGGCTGGTCTTGAATTCCTGACCTCAAGTGATCCGCCTACCCCAGCCTCCCAAAGTGCTGGGGCTACAGGACTGTGCCTGGTCTGTGTGTGGA